AAGAGAGGGGAATAGAATGGCTGTTGGAGTTTGTTGTAATTGATGTGCTGTGTCATGATACACCGTTTCCTCATTGGACTGATTTTTATGAATTGTTTTTCCAACGGCGCAATTGACTTTTTCCCAAAAACTCACTTCTCCTCTCTCTTTCAACTGATCATCATCTTTTTTTTTCTGGCTGCTCCCGCTCAACAAGGCTCAGGGGGGGGGCCTCTTGGTCTGATGACGGAACCTCTTAAAACCTTCCAGGGACTTGGGTAACGCCCCTAAACCCAACTTTGACAAGGTGCAGTTACTGCCATTCATTTTTACGCTTGAGGGTGCTGCCCTGAGTAAGGCAAGGCGTAGATGGCTAATGGGGGGGTCGGGAAGTGAAGCGAGTGGGTGTGAAGCACATGTGAATGGCTTTTGAAGGGGAAAACAAGAAGAGAAAAGAAGAGACAAGTACAGTAAAAGACAGTAAGGTAAAGGAAACGAAAGGAAAGAAAGGAAAGAAAGGTACTGACCGAGCTGCTCGTTGTGTTTGTTGAAGCTGTCTTTGTAGAGCCCCATCGTCCGAAACTCCATCCTCCTCCTCCTCCTGTTCCATTGCTTCTTCCATTGCCCTTCATGTTCTCTTTCTTGTTGCTTCCTGCAATGCCGCTGATACTCAGCTTCTTCTTTCGCGCCGTCGTCATGAGGAATTTCAGATATGTTTCGCTTTGTTGAGGCTGGTACTAAAAGACAGGGAGCAGTACAGCACCAGCACAGTTCAGTTCAGTTACTGCGGCAGCAAACATCTCGTCAGCTCAATCCCAGTCCCAGTCCCTGTCAAACTCATGGTGTGCGGGTGACCCTGCACATGCTTGCATATCGGTGTGTGTGCCTGTGTGCACCTGGTGTATTGAGTGCAGTGCATCCGTGTGAGCGAGAAGTGTGTGCGTTACGATGCTGGAACAAGCACCATCCCAGACTATTCAGCTCGTCCCGAAAAGGTACAGCAGATCTCGGATTGGATGCTCAAACTCGCTATGGGTCCGTGATGTAGCAGCATCATTGCATCTCTGGATGTTGATCGTCACTTGACTCGAGCCATCATAGTCAAGAGTTGAGGGCCATATCGTGATAATATTGAATGATGAGGGATAAAAAGAGAAAATCGGAATGACATACCTGTTCGAGAAACGTTCTACTTGTGCTCCCAACGGTTCCTCTCATCGCCCGTTTGTTTAACTGTCTGTCCTCTCTCTGTCCTTTTCGTCCTCCCTTACACCTATACCAGACAGGTTGTGTAAAGGTCCGAACACGCTTTGCAAAAGACAGCAAATCAAATCACGAAAAGAAAACAGCACCAGCAAAGACAAAGAAAAATGCTCAATGAAGAGATCGAGATCGTTGAAGCAATGTAAGAACAGGTTGAGCTTTGTAAGATGGGAAGAAATCACAGAACCTTCAACATCAAGAACGAAGTAAGGGAGAGGGGGAGAGAGAGACGACTTTTCTTTTTTGTCGTAAATACATACATAATAGACACACGCAAATACATAATGCTTCACATTCCGCATCTATACTCCCTCGTTGTATATGGATTCCACCAAACAAGATGCGCTTTGTGCGGGAGCAGGCGAATTCCCATACATCGCCCTCTGGCTGCGTCTAGTCTTTGCCCTTTTTCTTTTGGTCTGCCTCATCTTGTCTTGTCTCTGCCTCTACGCCACGCGACCCCTGCCCACGAGCAGACCAATCCTGAGATGTAATGGTCGAATTTCACGATCGGGGGCAGTGGCTGCATTCCAATAGTGTCTCATCATTGTCCTCGGCTGGGGGGGCATTGCTTCTGTTCACAATCTATGGCCGAAACCACGGTCAGTGGACTTGCAACCGTCACATATCAGAAGAATATATATGTACATAGTCATTCAGCCAGCCAATAACTACAACTTGTCATTATGTATATGCAAAACACAGTCGTATCAGAATTGGATACAATAAAAAGGAAACACCAAGAGAAAAAGAAAAACTCTAAACGTCGAGCACTAATACAGTTCAGTACTGTACAGTACTGCATTGGGCCTGACTCAGGAATGTGCAGAAGCTTCAGCCCAGCCCAGCAGCTAATAGGCACTCTTGCACCATTAACGTGCCCAAAACTCAATTAAAGACTAATGACCTTGAGTGAAATTTCTTCCTATTGGTTCTCTCTCCCCCAGATTGTCGAGGTCTAGCGAGGTACAGAGGTAGTCTTTGATCATGGTCAACGACACCAAGACGTTACAGGCAAAAGAACTTAAGAGCTATAGCGGCGCATGGCAAAAGCGGGTCGAACAAGGCTAAGCAGAGCTCTACTAGACTAGGCTAGTGACCTTTTCAAATCTAACGGTCTTCCGCGGCCGGGATGTCACTCTATCCCATCCGTTTCCTAGGTACTGTACCTTAACCTTCTCGACATTAGACTTTTGTAAACAGTTACAGATAAGATTATATCTCACTGTACCTGCACTTGATCATGGATGTCTAGCATATGTACATACCTACATACATACATACATACATACATACATACATACATACATACATACATACATACATACATACATACATACATACATACATACATACGCAAGCCACGACGTGCAAACGGCAGCAAGACTGAGGCGTTTAAAGCTGACATATCCTTGAGTCTGCGTTTGCACTCCAGCAACAAGATGAGCAGCCCTCCTCAAGGCGGGAGACGATACTAATTTAACGAGCCAAGACACTTGTCAAAGAAAACACTATAGTTAGTAATTTGCTCGAAACAAAGGGAACGCATCTTGATAGATTAACCTGCGGGTCAAGGGTTTTGGTAACTGCAGGGATAGCTCTAGATCAGATCAACACAGAAAACAATTTATTTTCCGCGTTTGACGCTGGGATCCCTCTTGATTAAGCTCAATCAGTCTTTTTTTCTTTCATTCTTTTTTTGTCCCTCAATAAAATAGGTCAAAAACTCCATTCGACATGTGTTTCAAGGGGGTGACACACAAGTCCCTGGAAACTCGAGACGAAGTTACAGTAAAACGGTACCTTATGTTTCTCTGGTATCCGTAGGTACAGCATCACATATTATTAATTTCCTTGGTCATATTTTGAAAGGATGCGCTGCTGCATGTTCTTGTTATGCTAGACATGCATTATAATTTCTTTTTATTGTCCCCTACTGCTCATCGGGCGTCGTTCTCTGGGGGATAGGGCTTGCTAGCAAGTACTCCATACCTACTGTAGCGTGCGTCCTCATTTATCTCGTGCATAATAATAAACGGATTATTACTTGATTAGTCTGATATAGGTCAACAGTCAGTCAGAGTTGACAGCTTGCTTCTGTCTTTGAGGCCATATGTAGAGTGCTCCTTCAACAGTTGCATTCACTTGGTATGGTCTTCTTGGAATGGACAAGAGATGTCCCGAGCTTCATGATGGTCTCAGAGTTGACACTCTTTGCAAGCATCACGAACCACGTGTAACCCGCCTCGCAATTGCATTAATTGCTTTTCAAGCTCTTGAGTTCTCTCTTTCTCTCTTGAATCCTCTCCCTAGAATTCTAGTCCTCGCCCTGTCATTCCAGGAGCCCTCGTGCCGCCTCAAAGGGGAATGTTTCTGAAACAAGGCTTGCAGTACCGAGAATGGCTTGTGTCACCGGCTTACGACTGCGGCCGATATTAGCTGCTGCTGCACGCACACATATTCACGACCGTGTCTAGTTGCAGAGAGCATTAGCCATCAGTTCATATATCATCGTGATGAGAAATGGAAGTGACATGCTTTAGTGCCCAGCGACACTCGATGCGTCTAAACCGCGGATGCGCAGCCGACATTAGTTTGGATTGGATGCTTTGAGACAAGTATGCAAGTCTAAGACAAATCTCACCAAAAAGCAATCATAACCATTCATTCATTCATTCATTCATCTCATCCCCTCCAACTCCAGGGTCTTGTGCTCTCCCTTCAGTTGCCACTCAACTTCAACTTCAACTTCAACTTCAGCCAAGCCTTCAACAATTTTTGGCCAAGAGGCGCGGGAACGGCTTCTACTTGTCCCTCAGCTCTTCTCTTGATGTCTCGGTGATTGCTGCAGCCGTTGGCTCATGTCTTGAAGAGTGTTGCCATTTCTCTTTACCAGAATTTTCTTGCAATCGAATGACGTGCTATATACATTCCTCGAGCTTTAGCACTGAATATACTTTCATTAATCCCATCGCGAATGTTTCCCAGGCATCATCGTGGCAAACCCCTTTCTGCTGCATCCATAGCGTGCTTCTTCTGTATAGCCATCACCAGAAAGCATGCAAAAGTAAAAAAAGCAAATCTCACGACATACCTTGGGTCTCTACTGTGCCGTTCGTATCCTAGAAGCTGTCTAGTAAACGTACAATATCCAAGACCTGTCATACTATGGCTGACATACCATGCTCACTCTGATTGAATCAACTGCCACAAAAGACCCTGAAGTACTCCGTACACAAGAGATGATTGTTTCCTCTGACGACCATTGCAGTGTACCAGTAGCTCGATCATGCCAAGTCATTGGGAGTTGTGAGGAATTATGTGACAGAAACATTGGGTGGCGTATCTCACATATTCTCAAGGCCTGGTGTTGGTCTCGCAGCCACATCTTGTAGAGTGTAGGTATCTAGGTGATTTGATCGGACGCAGGCCATGCCTTGAAGACTTTAGAGAGTTGGTAGAGCTGATGAGAAAGGTGTGAGGAATATCTACTCAAGAGGCTTCTGCTGTGCCACTCAAGATTTAATAGAAAAGAAGAAACCACACTCTGTTAACAGTTTCTGTAGACAAAGCTAGTAACAACATGCTTCCCAATATCTCCCTGGAAGGAAAATCGCCCAATATTCGCTCCCTATCATATCTTTGCGCTCACCTCATTATCATGAAACTCCAAAGCAAAATTTCCTTCTCATCATAATTCATTATCCCCGATTGTCCCATGCCCAATACTGCCCATTTCTCCTTGGACGGCCAACGCCTTATATCCTCCACAAAGGCTGAGGATACTCCCCTCCTTCCAGTATATAATTCTCAAGCCTCTCACTCTTCTCTCCCATGATCCTAACAATTGTGTCCACAGCAGGCACATCATTACGAAAGAAGATCTGATACCAGCCCACATTGTCACTAAACCGGCCATTGATTCGAACCGTCTCCAACACCTCGAGTTTCTCCCTCATAAGCTTAAAGATGAAATCCCAGTCGATGTCAGTTGAACTGAAAGGATCACACCATCCATATATACTCTGCAGGTTAACTTCCTTGAGTGTTGAGCGGTGTTCGATAATCAGACGGACAAAGTGCACAAAGTTGATGTGTAAACAGCTTAGGTCGATCTTCTCAAGGTGAGGAAGCCTCTTCTTAATGTACAAGTCAACATCGCCGGCTTCAAACTCGACAGGAGTGCTGTGGACTTTTAGGTCTCGGATGTTGGGCATCAGAGAGATGAAGTAATCGAGGCGGTCTGGCTTGAAGGAGATGACGTCGTATTTCAGGTGCAAGTGTAGCTGAGTCACCGACCCAAAGACTGTTGATACTCTCGGGTCCAGTGTGGATGGCAATTTCAGGTACGGATGCATTATCGGCTCGATTGTGAGGCTCTTGAGTGGTACATTGCGTCTGAGTAGAGCATCCAGGATAGCTTGCTGTGACTCAAGGATCTCGTCACCAGCCAAGTCCATAGATTCCTCCGAGCTGAAGACATCGTCAATGGCCCTGTAGTCTTTCCATGGACACTGCGTCCAAGTCAAGCACACGGAATCGAGATTGGGTAGCCTCATGATAGCTGGAACTACCAAGTCAAGAGGCAGCTCGATTGGGTCGAGGAAGATATCTTGAGTCTCGAGATAAGGGCCCCAGGCTCTATGGAGCTCATTCGCGTTAATGATTCGCGATGTAGCGTATTCGACCTCTTCCTCAACCAAGCGAGCCATGTTGAACTTGACGGAGTGAATGCGCCTTGCGCAGCCTGGTATAAGCGAAAGATGATGAATTCTCTCCCCATCCTTCCTCCACGGGACGCCATTGAAATCCGGCAGCGCAAGGAGTGGTTTAGTACATTCTGCAATCTTTTGACATGAAAGTCTGAAGTTTTTGAAATCTTGTCCTGGTAGAACGACGCCGATGTTATTAATGAGCTCGTATGGGAGATGTGTAAGGCGGGGCTGCGATTGTGATGACGATGACGATGCTACTGGCTCGTGATGCTCCATGATTTGTTCTTGTTCCTTCAAGTAAGCTTTGGTGTTGTTTTGTGTAGTATTATCGAGTATCAATAGTTTGCTCTATCGCTCTCCTCACAAGTAGTCAAATGACAACTACCTGTGTTTGCGTATGTTCATGTCAAGATATGAACAGAGAGTTTCAGCTTCAATCTTGTCCTGTCTTGACTGGAACCTCGGACCTGAGCTACTGCCACGCCCCACGGTAAACCTATCACATCCTTTTCCGCATCAAACATCAACTTCTGTCTATCTTCTTCATCCCAGTTCTCATCCGCCGATTCACGGCGATACACCTCATCGCCCCTCCAACGCCTCAAGTGTGAGTATTCCTCCAGGAAACTGTTGAGCTTACGTTAGTTGTGTGCTGATGCCTGTCATTTTCAAAGGACACGCAGGTCATGTGACTGACTATTCTCGTCCTCATTCTCCCGTCATCACGTCAAACAACATGCTCAAGTAAGTTGCCTCATCCTTGACCCGTAGCCCTCAGCACGAGGACTTACATACACAACCAGGGCTTACAAAAACCTCTCACCCAAGACGCGTCTCGGCGTCGGTGTCGCAATCATCGCTTGGGGCGCTGGAGGACTCATGTTGACTGATCCACTTGAGAAGTCTCTTGGCTTGACTCCAACTGAAGAGGACAAGGCTGAGCTGGACAAGTACACACCAAAGATCACCACTGTTGATAAGAACGAGAAAGACAGTAACTGAACTGAGAGGCTTGCAATACATTTATAAACCATATCTGCACGTCTCCCAAGGGCGATGTTTCGCGAGCGAGAGCGAACAAGCCGCGGCCAGCGTCTAGAATTATCTCCTCACATGTTACTTCACAAATGGGCACAAGTACAAATATAGGCAAACATCATTAACCTGCTCCAAGCCATCAAGTCATGATGGTCTACCGGTTGACCGTCAACCAGTTAGACCTCCCTTTCTATCTTGATCAAAGTCTAATATGCAGTTACAACTCCTCTTCCCGTCTATTCTCGACAAATGCATTGCACAACAGTGCCAACCATGGATGTGTGAGGCCAATCCGGTCTACCTTGAGATGACCATCACATTGGTGAAACCCAGTGACCCAGGAAACAAAGAAAATGAAGAAAACAAAGCAGAATGCAGCGCAACGCCTCCAGATGCAGCCCCCGCCCCTATAGTACTTTTTTTTGGTTCTGTAAGAAATTCATACTGCCGTCCCTTAGTCAAGCTCCGTTTTGACAGACGCAGTACCAGCGTCTTCCACCACTTGTGGAAGTGGTTTGAATAGTTTTGCCATCTCTAATGTGAGATCCACTGCTCCATACTGATCATCAATCTCTCCAACAGATCCTAATTCTTCTCCTCTGCTCGCGCCATCTGACATCACCCACGACTTCACCGATTTCAATAATTGGATAATTTGGACAAAGCGAGCATCCGGCGACAACCGTAAGTCCGCCGCTTGGGTGTGCTTGAGCAGGTAATTGGAAAGCCAATAGAAATGGATGCCATCTCGCGAGAAACCGTGCCGCCGAGGATTGCTAGATCCCGGCAATGCTGGCGGAAACTGATTGGCCATATCCGCATCCCAGTTATTCTTGAACTTGCTCAGAGCGATAACAAGTGCCTGCAGACTTTGTGGGTCAACGTTAGCAGCCGCTCCCTCCACCGGAGTACCCCGTCCACTATTGTGGCCAGCTGGGGTCATCCAATCATTGGGAGGAGGCGTTCCAAATTTGGACAGCTGAGCCGCATTGCCGTCGATCTGGGCCCGCCGAATCAGAGCTAATATGCCATGGATAAGAACAAACTTTCCATAAAGGTTGGTGCTTCCAGGCTGGATCTGATACGAGGGGTGCAGAAGAGCTTTGAGAGCCCAGTCCATCTCAGGTTGCTTTGGTCGCTGAGTGCCATAGGGATTCTTATCGCGAGCGGCGACATCACCATTGAGGCCAAGCGCAGAAGCACAGTCCCCAGCATTGTCCGCATCCCAAGCAGTGTCGTCGCAAGGCAAAGGTAGATGAAATTCCATAACATCGAACAAGGGTTGAGAGTTAAAGTAAAGTCCCATGGCGACGTCCATTAAAAAGACGCCAAACATTAGACGATTCCGACGCTCTTGATCAACCCAAATATCCCAGTTCCATTGCTGCAAATCAAAAGTGTTCCGGTCAAAATCGATTTGGTGAAGGGCTGACAAAAGAGCAGGGTCCCGCGACGACTGGAAAAGATTCAATCGCCTGGCGTTGGCTGCAAGAAAGGGGTAGATGTGTCGAGCTCGCTCTCTTTGTTGGGGGTTTCCATTCCAAAGTAATAATATACATGTTAGCAAGACAGCCTGAAGCTCTTCAATGTCAGCCCGAGATGCGCGACTCGGTTGCCCTGCCAAAGGTTCAGCATTAGACATCATCTTGCAGTCGCGTTGAAGCGCGACTACAAGAAAATCCATCATTTCGCGAACATTGGACGGGGTGACATTGTCTGAGTAACAGGCCCCGATGCAACACATGCCTGCAAGTAAGCCAGTATACGCCTCCATGACCTTGAACGTCGCGACATGAATGAAAGGCATGTGGATGTGGAAGTGAGTGTACTTGTCCAAGAAGTCCTTGACGTTGTCAGGCGAGAAGTAGAGATTCATCCCCGCGCTAGAGGGATCGATGGCTTGGTTAGGAGGATAGAAAAAATTAAGGATCTGATCAGAAAGAAGATTGTATGAGGTTTGGTGAGATGGCATTCCCATATTCGACAAAAGGGTGTCGCTGGCGCTGGCGCCTGTCGTTCCGGGCCCGGCATTAGGTTCGGGTTTGATTCCGCTCTGAGTCTGTCCAAGATTAGGATTGAAAGATGTGTTGACGTAGGTTTGATGCGCACCAGCCTGGAACATCTGAGACCAATCAAGGCCAGATGGAGGGTTTGTGTTTGAGCCGCCGTACATGGGCAGTCCGTTCTGAGCGGGAGGCATGCTGTAGCCAGTCATCTGCTGCTGGTTCATGTTGGGGTCAGCGCCATAGGGCTGCGAGGCACCCATGACCTGACCGTTCATGTTCCGTCTGTCAGCGTTGTTACCGTTGTCGAGACGACCAAGCGAGCTGGATCGAGAGAGTTGGCTCTGATCCTGGGCCATGTTGTTCATGCCATCCGAGACTGGGACCATGCCAAATGGGTGGACCATGTTGTCTGCGGGCAGATTGCTCAAGCCATTGAGGTGGTTGAGGTCACCCTCATGGGCGAGGCCGGCGGCTTTCTGAGCCTGCTGTTGGTTCTTCTTAACATGAGCCTGAGGATGCGACAAGTGACTAGCTCCGGTGGGATTGCCACGGCGGATAGAGCACTTTTGGAAATGACGCTTCAGGATATCACTTCGAGAGAAGGTGTCGCGGCAAAGAACACACATGTAAGGGCGATCACCGGTATCTGTGGAAACGAATGTCAGTAAAATCTGTCAGCGTCAACAAGCTGTTACACTCACGTCGCAGAAGGTGGCGCTTAAGATGCTTGGCATGGAGGTAAGTCTTTGTGCAGTGAGGGCAAGGGAATTTGCCATCTGCGTCCTTGACAGGAATCACGGTGTTCTTGGCGCCAGTACCAGCGGCTGGGGCAGCAGGTCGCCCAGGAGCACTGGGCAGGATACCGCGTCGTCCCTGAGAGCCAACAACGTGAGTGGGAGGTTCGCCCTCTGGCATGACCGCAGTGGGCTGCATAAGAGAACCAGGGCCGTAAGGCGACGAGACACCAGGTTGGGACATGATGCCTCCAGGAGGCATAGGGCGCAACACAGGAGGGCCGCGACCACCAGCGGGAGCAGGCGCGATAGGCTGTGGGTGAGACGCGGCAGTGGTCGCCTGGGGCATCATGGCAGATGTGCCATAGGCCTGAGGAGGAGGGTATTGGTTCTGGGCCATTGAGTAGATACCAGCACGGTTCGCGGGCTGCGATGTCTGCTGCTGGTAGGTAGGCATGTTGGAGGCCGACCCAGGCGTGTTCGGGGTGCCTGGGGTTCGCGGCGTATGAGGGTGACTTCCGTACATGTTCTGCATGGCCGAGGTTGGAGGCTGCAGCGGTGGCAGAGTCTGAGGTAGAGGAGAGCCGGTTTGAAGTTGGTTGGGAGAAATCGCGGTAGGTGAAGGATAAGTCTGACCAGAAGAAGTCGTGTTTATACCATTGGAGGGGTAGTGAGGACCGTCCATGCTACTCTTGGTAGACGCGAAGCTGGTGACAATCGTCGTGGTGTTGAGAATACCGCGACGCAAAAAAAACGGCTGCCCGGGGTACAATGGACCTTGGTGGATGACAAGTCCAAGTCGAGGATTTGCGGAGAAAGGAAGGAAGAGGGAGGGGTCTAGGAGGTTTGCAAAACTTGAGGAAGCAAAGCAATATCAAATGCAATGCCTTGTAGAGCTCCGCAGAAGATGTTCCCGAATGGTGGAGGATGAGGCTCGTGGCAGGTCCCTCTTTGAAGGTAGTGGTTTGGAGAGGGTGCACAGAGTGGAGAACTGGGTCCCGAACCTTTTTAAGTATTATTTTTTTTTTCTTCTCGCGGTCTCCTCTCTAGACGGTCGAGCTGTCAGGGCAGTTTTTGAAAAGGTGGGTAACGTTGAGTGGGTTCAGAGTGGGTGGGTGTGAAAAGAAGAGGCGAGTGAAGGAGGGAAAAAAGAAGTGGGTTGGTGCGGGTGTGGATTAAAAAGCGATGCAGAAGCAGCACTAGAGTAAATTTTTCGGTCTTGCTTAGTACGCAATCACGAGGAGCGGTCGAAGGCGAAGGAAAGCAACAGCAGCAGCTGAAGTGAAGGGAGGGAAAAGTTGCCAGTCGCGGAACCGTTAGTAAAAATTCCTTGCCGGCACGCTCAGTATGTATTGCAAGATAAAGCCGATACTCGCGTGGTCGCAAATTCCCAACCCAGTTGCAAGTAAAGAACCAGCGAGAGGATGTGGGAAGTGGATAATGTTGTCAAGGGAAGTGGGCCCACAACGAAGCAAAGGAACCACAATCAGAATAGCTGGCGGCTGGGGTCTGGAGGAAAGGGCGAAAATAGGCCACAGAGGGTCGCGGGTCGCGGTCGTGTTTGATGGGGCCAGACGCCAGACGCGCAAATCGACTTTCAGATATCACGACAATTGAAGTAATTGTTTTGGCGGTGTATTTGAAGATGCACGAAATCTAAAGAGTCCAGAGAAGAGTCGATGATGGTATGTGAGTTGTGTGAGGGAAAAATTTTCGGGAGAACGAGAGAACGAGGAAAGATGGGAAAACAAGGGAACGACGACCTACGGGAGGCAGGAAGATACCTAACTGAAAACCCCGAGGTACCTCCTACCTACTTGCTCTCGCTGGTGAACACTGAAATCAGGGCAGTGAGAGCGCGGCTGCGGTAGCGTGCCTGCCAGTTACAGGCGGAAAAAGATAGAGCAGGAGCAGTAACCGGAGTAAAGACGGAAGTACCTGTTACCGAGGCCGGCGCCAAGCAAGGAAGACGCTTCAATACTGGCCGCCAACTGTTTGCAGTGTCAAATTTGTTCCTCTTCTAGCTTGGATGGTTCGAATTTTTTTCGTTTTACTCTTCACACGCCCCTCATCCTTCTTCAATCTGAATCAAATCGGGTCTACGGCGATATTTCTGGCCTGTCCAACTTGGATGTTAGCGCAGGTGCCATGCCATTGCCGCTCTAAGCCGCCAGATTCGGGGCTTGCTCGACACCTTAGCTAAAGTAATTCATTTCGCTGGCAG